GCTTCAATTGACTCATGATCTCAACTGTTGAAATTACTACAATCTCCACAAAACCCCTTCAGAATTCTATATTCATTTATCTTATAGATTTTGTACAGATATATGGAAAGGGTGATCCATCGTTATAATATCTGAGTTTTTCTTTTGAAAACATCTTGTATGTGATTTTTTTAAATTCTAAAAGTTGTCAGTTAAAGAAATGGTTGTCAATGTTGAAGTTTTATGATAAGCATATGGTTCGATTTAGAATCTTACTTTATATGCATAAACATTTGATTATTGTTGACACCCACATAATTAATCACATATAATTGTCATTAATACTAAGTAGGTGATTCTCGTGTGTACACGTATAGGTAAACCGTAGCAAAAAAGTGTAAACATACATCTCGTGTTAAAATTGTTATTTGATCTTGGATACTGAAAAATGTAACTTATAGGAATAAGATGGTTTCACAAGTGTGTGTGTGTGTATTGTGTTATGGTGTATGCTACATATGTTTATTGATATAAGTAGTATGTAACACTAATCAGAAGTGGAATGCATGACAGTAGAAGATTGATTATGAATAAGAACAGAGAGTAATTGTAATAGCAATCATGAAACAATGCAGTTTGAGATAATTGATCTAAGATTTGAGAATGAAGTATGTAATGTATAGTTCTAGACAATTTTACGAAAGAACTCTGTAACTTTGCATCCAATCACATATATTGGTTGTTCCAACCTGAGTTCTCGTTTACAACAGTGTAATTGGTACTATATCTAATAATAAACAGTACTTGGTAAACACATAACAATGTGGATTCTTTCTAAATATTTATGTTTTTTCTGAGCTTGAAGGACACAACTTATCATTTTAAAAGTCGTATATCATTCGAAACACGATAAATTGTCCGTTCAATAACCTACGATGCTATTCTATTGAGGTAACCTTCAACATGGAAATAAATCTACTTTGACTGTTCTCGACTTAGTGATTTTTATAGTGATAATCCACTTAGTCATCTGAGATGTCTGACTATAGTAAGTATTTTAACTAGATTGTAAATTCCTGTGAGAGTTTTACTTCTTTATGTGACACGAAAGACTGTAATATAAGTGAAACTATATTATGTAATTTTTTAGTATGCAGATATATTGCGAAAATTTTAAAAACAGAGTTCAGCGAAGGGATCTCTTTTCAACGAATTTATTATCAAGCTGTACAGCCGTACATATATGAAATTTTTTTTAAAGTACTAGTTCTGTGAGGAAATGTGAACAAGGAATAACAAAGATGACACAATAAAGATTGTAACACTAGATAACTGAAAATGTGAAAAGAAACAATAGACTTTATATGATAGTAACGAATTATAACGTGAAGGCAGTGAGATGTTATCTAGCGAAATAAGTCTGGAAAGAGAAAAAGAGAAGGGACATGAAGGATTTGGAAGAGTAGAGTTTGGGAGAACACAAAGAGTGGATGAACATACGCCATTGCAAACCATTTTCAGCCATGTCATTCAAGATCTCTAACCATCGGTTCCTATCGTCTCACGGATCTCCAGAAACAGGTAGTCTACACCTACCAACATGGCTCAGTCCACTTGTCAGTCACTTCATGGATTTGTGCCATGTTTTGGTCTGGCCGCCACTAACTTTCTTTCAACCTACTCCCAGACCATAAAACATCGCACGTCGGTGGTTGGGCATACGTAACACATGTCCCAGCCATCACAACTGGAGTTTCACTACTCCAGCAATTGATTTGCCATCCTTACCTAGTACCCGTCTCCTGACAACTGTATTACTTACTCGATGGTACCAGGATATACGAGCAATGTTTCGAAGACACCTATGATCGAATACTAGTAACCTACGAATATCTTCTACACTTATCCCGGCCATGTTGCACTGCCATGAACTAGGACGGAACGATTTGCTGCGCAGTAAACCCGTCCTTTGGTTGATAGTCGGGTATCGCGCCTACGATTCACAAAATTATTATGACTAGTCTTATGTAATATATGAGTACAACAAACAGATAGATGATACTGTTGACAACTGATCACACTCCAGTGAAATTATTTGTACTATACTACTCAAATAAATGTTCATTTGATATAAATAGTTCCCAAACAAGGTTAGCGCTTTGATCACAAGCTATCGTTGAAAATCCTAAGTGGTGTAATCTAAAATTGACCATAGAAAATAAATCCAATTTTTTCTCTCGAAGTTGTATATACTTCATGCTTATAAGCAAAGATGGATAGTGGCTAGTAGTGGAATCATGGTCGTGAGTTTCGTCCTATTTGGGACTCGTCAGCTGAATGTACCTTCATCGAAGTGTTGATGTTCACTCTGGAATTCGAATCCAGTACCATTTGCTTCAAATGCTATCGCATTATCCATTTAGCTACTGATTTCTGACTTCAAACAATTACGACATAGTCCGCATAGGATGTACATATGCCAACAAGAGACTGATCAATTGCAGTCCTAAACATCAATGGGAAGATATAAGTAAAACAACACCAAGTGAATAGTTCATGTTTAATTTCTTAATTTTCATGTATGTTTCTTTCAGTTCATTTTGTTATAATGTTAAGTACAACAACTTTAACCAATGACTATTATGGATAAATGTTAAACTATTTAAGAACTTATGTAACAAACTTATCATACCATCTAATTCATATTAAAGAACTTTTAAATACGAAAGAAAGAAAAATAACACAAACAAATATCGTTATTCCGAAGAAAAAAAGAAAGAAAACAGAACAGAATCAGTCGGAAAGGTTAATTCTCTCTAGTTTTTTTTCAACTGGAAACCTTTTTTTCGCTTCATTTAAATGTTTTCTTCTGTTTGTTTTTTTTTCAAAACAACAACAATAATAACAAGAACAACAGTAAAGACAATAAGTAAACATTAGCCGAAAGACTGAAACTACTTATGTATAAAGAAGTAACTAAGTATGTGTTAACACTAATAAGCACAATGATAATAGTAATATAATTATGTATATTGAAATTATGTAATGATCAATATGATATACAATATAAGTAATAACATTAGTTTATGTCTAAAAACTTATATTGTTGTTTCATGTTTAACACTGCCTTAATTACAATGTATATATATATATATATATATATATATATAGTGATTGTAAGGATTTAATCAATCATGCTGGGAAACAAACGAACGTAAAAATAGATAATTAGATGCACAACTTAACCACCAGGTAATAAGTGTAGGAAAAGAAATTGTAACAATCCGATTATACAAGAGAAGAGAAAGTTAAGTACTAACAAGACAAAACGATAATGGAACAGAATATGAGCATAATGTCAAATGAACAATAAACATTTCGACAATATACAGTGGATTTAGTTAACGATACCATGTTATTTGTCCAGATAATGATGAAAGTAATAATAATAATAATAATAATAATAAAAATATACAATACATACAAGTGAATTGTATAACAGGCTAAGGAGAAGAAAGAAATGTATGAGAAACAAACAAAAGGTTGAAAAGAACAAAATTTGTTACAATTTGATAGAATGAATGTTTCACTGGACACAGTGCATTCAACAACAACAACAACAACAACAACTAATAGTTCAGTATAATATGATCATAATAGTAATAATAATAATGATTATGATCATCATCATTCGAAAAACCCCGCTAAAAATGACGGCAAGAAAAGAATATATCTATATATAGGTGTGTTTAGTTGATTGATATTAGAATGAATTAGATAATCTATTTCTTTCTTTTTCAATTCCATTAAATTTGATTAAACATGAATATAAACTTTAAATAGAGACGTACCCTTTCGTCAACAAACAAACAACCAATAAATTAGGATCATGAAATGATAACCATCAATCAATCAATTAATCAATCATAGACACATCATCCTGATTATTAAGATTGCAGTGTTATCAAATTTTCTCATTATTTATTTAAGATAAATAATCAATAAATCTAAATAAGTAGTATGTAAGGGGTATTTGAAATAAATAAATAAATAAATAAGTAGTGTATAATACGAATTGAAATGAATTTTTTTTTATTATATAAAGAAGAATTAAGGTAACAATTATAAGATTAAAATATTGTTATTTAAATAAAACATTATTAGTTAATTTAATAAAACAACAACAACAACAACAAGAAAAAGGGAAACAAACGTAGAAAGATTATAGGGATGATGATAATGATGAAATGAGCAATTCAAAGGGGGGGGGGAAGGGAGAAAAATGCGTATCTATCTATCTATTTAAGTAAGTAAGCAGTAATATAATAGGTGTATACAATTCAATTATCAACTAATTTTGTATTATTCTAAATATTATCCAAAAATGCATTGAATAGTAAGTGATAAATTATACTTGATTAGATGATGATAGTCAATTGAACTATACAAACTGAAATAAATAATTACAAGTATTACTAATATATTAGTATTAAAGTGCAATAACAACAACAACAACAACACACAAAAACAAACTGAATAAAAACACTTACTTATTGGAACAGTGCATAAATTCACCGGAACTAAAATAACTCATTTACAAGGTATATGAGGTTTTTAACAATATTTTATTTTAAAGAAGATAAATGAAAAATTCTCTTTCTGGATTAATGTATCCTTTTGTTTCTTTCTTTTGAAAGTGAATTTATTGATAGTTAATGTGTTCTTTTTTTTCCCATTTTGTAATTTATGATTAATAGTAGTACATTAATCCTGGTGGGTGGTCTATGCTTCTCCAAGACGGGTAACAGCCGTTAATATGTAAGTAAGTAACTTAACACAATAGAATAAGATTAAAATGTAGTCAAAAAAAAAGTATGTTTTTTTTCCATTAATTTTGTAGATGAGTAATTTTACTAACTGCACACTCATTACTATTTTCATGGTATTTATTTTTTTTTAATAATTTTACTTCTCCATAGAATTGAATATGTAATAAACATCAAATTGATGGATTGATTGAGTTAAATACCTTTCTCCACTAATAAACTAGGACGTATTTTTTGAAGGAAGCCCCAATCATTAATGGAAACAAATCCATAGGCGTACAATAATGTTAATCTAAAAAGTAATGTAATAAACAAAAACTTTGTAAAAAAAAAATACTAACAATAATAATGGGATTAATGTAGAGTGGTTAAATTTGCTTTACTTCTTAAAATTTATGTACGATGCTTCCTGAGTAGTATAAGAGTGAGATTGAAAGACTTGGAATCAGTCCATGAAATCACCTACAGTCGGACTGCGCAGTATAAGTAGGTTTACAATACATGATTAGAGTCCGTGAGATTATTGCCATCAATGGTTTGAGATGTTGGGCAATATGGCACATAAGAGGCTACAATCATACAAATCCATTCCACTTTGTTTTGTATCAGACAGTAAGTTTTAAAATCACGTTAACAACAAAAATTACAACTACAAATATGGAATATGAATGATTCATTTATAATTGATTGATCATTGGGTAGTGACCAATGTCATGTGTGTTAGTTTCTTCTTCATGCAAATCGAATTCTATCGATTACGTTGTAATATGGCCACTAGTCTGAGTGACTCGACATCGCATGCACTATGTTCATATGAACAGTGGTAGTTGGAGGTAGTCGACAGGAAACCCTGTTATATATTACGTCAGTAAGCTGTAACTCATATTTAAAAAGAACACATTGCGAAATAATTATTTTGTTGTGAAAATCTGATCTAATACTTTTCTATATCTCATCACTATTTTATTATTAAATACTTTAAGCTATCGAGAATACGGGAAAACCAGTTATTTCTAACGCATAAACAATAGCCTATGATAAATTATGGAGTTTATATATTTTCACTGTTGAAATCACGGGTGGATCTAGGCTAGATAACCATTGAAAACCTCGAAGGCCTAGTATAGGACTCCTGAGCAGTGCGCACCTACAAACCCACACACGGGACTCGAACCCAGGACTTTTGGTCTTTATCAGACCCTAGAAACTCAAACTACTTCCTTAATTTCTTGTGAAGAAAATCAATCTTATCGAACTGTAATGGGTACTGATTAGCTAGCGCTTGAATGTAAAAGTTGGATACTGAATTCAGTACTTTTTGATAGTTTCGAGCTTGTCTCATCTTACTTTTGACGTTGAAAAAAATCCACTAAATGGTTGTACATATCTTGTTCTCATTTTAATGAGTGTATGCAGTGAAATATAAAATGAACTTAAACAAATTAGTTAGTGAATACATATATACAGCCCCTAGAAAGAGAAGATAGATAAACATGGTAATCTTACAAGGTTATATACATTTACATAAGTGGAATTAGTTAATGATTTAAAATTACAAATAATTAGTAGTTTCCTATGGTAATTTAATCTAGATTGTTTAATTAACTGAGTTTAGACCACAGGAATATCCATTTTCAGATAAATTCTTAAAAGACAATTTTATTAAAGATGTGCTATAAGTTTCTAATTATATCATGTTACCTATGGCGAAGGCGAGATATCCGTCTGTTATACCTTTACGGCTGCGAAACATGGCCATTAAGAGTAGAAGATATTCGCAAGCTACTAGTATTTGACCACAGATGCCTTAGAAATATTGCCAACATCCGCTGGGACCACCGGGTAAATAATAGTGAGGTTAGATGCAGGGTATTAGGGAATGATGGTAAATCAGTTGATGAGGTTGTGCATCTTCATCGACTGAGATGGTTGGGCCACGTGTTACGTATGCCTGAACACCGATTACCACGACGTGCAATGCTAACCGGTGTTCGGGATGGTTGGGAGAAATTTAGGGGCGGCCAAAACAAAATGTGGAACCAGTCCTTGAAGTCACTAACTTGTAGTCTGAACCATGTTGGTAGATGCAGACTACTTGGTTGGGGTCCGCGTGACTATCGTAACCAATGGTTGGAGACTCTGGGTGACAGTTCAGAATGGACCACATAGCGTAGGTGCAGACACTCTCTATCTTCCCTTAAACTGAGATTAAAATCGTTTTATTTCTTTCTAAGAACAAATTCTTTGTTCCTTATATGCGATCTTTCTTTTATATATTACCATGAATGAATTAACTACTTCTATGAATTTAGTGTTCATCTTGTTGTGCTAATGAGGTATGGCAACTTGGACCGAAGCATATATGTGCCTGGTCCTATGTTGTAGCTAACTGACTAATATATATCATGTATAAAAGTTACTTTTAAGCATTAAACCGTATGGTGAAGAAACACAGTCGCGATCCTATATACAGATCTTTAATTGGGAATTCATTTACGATTGTTCTGAATAAACAGAAATCACCATAGTTATATGAAACAGAATATTTATCCATCTAATATATATACTAATCTTACACCACTGTGAACCAGTAGTAATCCAATCTTTTAATCATCCTAAGCTTAATGATAATTTAGGTTGGATGTTGGGGAAAAGCAATAGTATTAACCCTACCCGTTTTATTATTATTATTATTATTATTATTATTATTATTATTATTATTATTATTGTTAATATGTAAGCAGGGAATAAAACTAATATTGTAACTTACTTAGGACACGCTTCAATCAACTTTTCAAGTACATCACTGGTTATTTCTCTACAATGGCTAATTCGTAAACATTTTAAGCATACTGCAGGAGCATTTGTTAGATGGAATAAACTGGAAATGTAAAGACAAAAAGTGAAGTGATTCATTTAATAACACCAATATATAACATGAAACAATTCAGAAAATGACATATAAATAAGTATATCATACATACACAGAGCAGTGTATGGAATAAACACTAAGTCAATCTTTTTACTGTGATAATATGATGTCTTCTGATTTGATCAAGTACATTTTTGAACTATTCTTATGATTGTTAACAGATTTATTTTACTCGTTTGTGTACGACAGAACCCGTGAGAAAGTTATGTCGAGATTAAACGTACATTATAAACCTAGTAATTCAGTTAATGAAGCTGTGAACTTTAGGCGGCTGAGGTAACTTTAACACATTCAGCCACCAGGACTGATGTTGTATGCTACAGAGTACGGGGAAGTTAGAAAAGTGACAAAAAACAAAGTCAGTCAGTTAGCCATTTACGACATAGAATGTAACAAATAGGTGCATCGGTTCAAGTTTCCATACGATATTAGCACAGTGAGATAAATGCAAAAGTAGTAACATAATCAGCAGTATTAGTAGTAAATATTAGGTACGGAAGAAAAAGTATAGAGACAGGGAGAACAGGACATGATATCAGCTCGTCAAGTAAATAACATTTAGACTGAACTGTGTATTTACGTGCATACGTCCAGCAAGATAGTAGAGAGAGAAAGAGAACAATATTTGCTAATTAAATTGCATAACTTTTACACTGACGCGTTCTCTTGTAAAATTCTAATTCCTGTCATAACAGAAAAACTAATAAACGTGCGGAGAAAGAAAATCTTACACAAAAAGTTGACAAAACTTGTACAACAGAATTTCAACGGTTATCAGTACCTATATTTAGGATAATTAAATAATCCAAAAGGACTTTGGAGATGCAAGGAAAGTGTTGAAGCGCAATATATGATGTAAAAAGTCCTATTGTATGCAACAAAAGAATGAAGTCCTTCTTATCTGACCAGCTTTAACCAAACATCCACATGACTACATCCTATAACCTGATCAAGTCTAAATCATAAACACATGTACAAATCCAATCATGTATTCATATCGTAAAATACACATTCACTCAGATGCACACTTACAGATATTAAAATTATATCATACACAAACACTTTTGACGTAAATAACACAACAGTAACAAGTTCTTTCAACTTATTACCATGTATTTACTGAACATATAATTTAATTGGTTCTTACCAATTAAATTGTTTATTTGCTGAAGAAGGTAGTAAGTCGTCAGAAATTTATTTCACTACTTATTGAGACGTCATCACCGTCGGAAAACAACTAAATATTCAGTTTGTTATAAACATGTTTTAGTTATGACATTTACAGCACTACGGATGATATACAGTTCCAGTGTTGAAGAAAACCTATTGATTTGGCCTACATGCTTATAGAAATTCACGTACAGTCGTAACATCAACGCTAAATTGATTAGCTGACACTTTTTTTCTCCACAACAGATAAGTGGTATGGCTGATTGAAATGTAATAGTAACAATTCGAGAGTTGTGTCTTGAACTTCTTTGCTTAAAAGAATCGGGATTACATCTTTACTGCGGTATTCATTTATTTGAACACATAAATATTGGTACAAGAGGGCACCAAATATATATGCGCCACACAATAAGACGAATTGATCTTTTAATGACTATTAATGAACCTTCTGTATGGAAAATCTCGCCCTTAAAAATGCTTCTACATTTCATAAATTGTCGAGGGAATATTCCACATATTCGATGAAGTGTGAAGTATAATAATAATAATAAATGATGTAGTTTGTACACCTTCTGCTGAATGATAGCCTTATATTTTAACTAATTGAATCATTAATCACATATATGTATGAATATTTATCTTAGATCCACTGATTGGAAGTTATGCGTAGAGGGAATTATAAGTTGGTCTGTTCTAATAATCCTAAGCAAACTTACTGACTGGTGCCTTCAAATGCTCTGTTTATTTGAATGGTCACAGTTTTATTGTTGATAATAATCTGTCATAGAATTTGATTATCTTATAGATTCTAACCACAGTGTCTGAACCATTCTATATGACGCTTATCAACAATTTACTTCTTGATGACATGATGAGTTGTCATCTTTTGGTCGCACCCAGATTTCACTCATCCTTATTCACCTCTCTGTTTCCGTCCCTAACATTTATAAGTGAGAAGTGAAAATTTCGTTGAATCAATCTTCTCCTTCTTCTGAGTTTCGTTGCATTTATTGTAAATTCTTATTTTGACAGCTGAATTACATAATACAGAAGATCCACTATGCTTATCAGCAGCTCTTTTCAATCCCTTGGTTCATATTTTAGATATCAGCGTTCAGGGTGATTTTGACTTCCGGTTTAAAACTCCATACTGCAATCGAAACTCTTCAGAGCTTGAGACACAAATTCCAGATTTTATGTTTTCGGTTGTCTATCCGTAAAATCTGTATGTCTGGTTTGATAAAACTTGGAAGAACAAGGGTTATGAACGTTGGCCCGATAAATTGGATGAAACCAATCACCAAATCAAAGGAACCTTCTATGGTCCGATGAGGGTTATTTGAAATGTGACAGAAAATAAAATTTCTCGTGTATGAATGAGATACATGATTACGATGCTATCAAAGCGCATTTGATAATTGTTTTCCATACCTTTTTGATCATTATTTTTTCTCCAGGTTCTACGGAGGGAGCGTGTGCTCGACGAGAATGATAACAGCTCTGAAACTGTCGGTATAAGAGAAATGAATGCATTGATAGCTAGAGATAACTCCGTTCGGATTTCTCTCTGAAGAACTGGAGATGGGTTGACAATTGTTGTGAAGAATTGATTCATGTTATGACTGTTTTCAGAATGGGTACATCCATACAGACATAAATACATTTGATTGATAAACCGAATTGCTTTGATTGCTATCTCACATAAATATTTCCCATTACTATGTTGTCATTTTCAATCATCACTGCATATGTATGTTGTTGTAATCAAACATTTCCCTGAAGGGTTTCTGTATATTACATACCGTTTCAATCATTTTGTAATTGGCACCAAACATGTCTGAATCTCTCAAATGTGAGGAAATTCGTAGTATTCTGGGATTCTTTTTATAGTCTGAGGAAATATGAGGGGATGTAATGACTAACTAGAGGTCAGTGGAAACTTGAGTCATTTTAATGCACTTTTCCCACAGTGAATCTCCAAAATATCTAATATGACTTTCCTGAATTTGACGAAATTCTCCTCAAATTTGGATAATTGAAATGATACGATGAAAACAAATTAAGCTTGCTGTTTTCAAAATGGTCGACATTCAGCCTAATCCTTAAACTTTGTATACAGTTCGTCCTGATAACCGTCATTAGAAAATCCCCGCAATGGTGTATTAATCAGAAGGTGAATACGAAGCAAGGATGAAAGAGTAATGCCGAAAATCTAGAGAGCAAGCGAGTGAGCGAATTAATGAACAGGATCAAAATGTACATATTTATACATAGTTAAATGATTGAATCATTTAAGCGACTAATAGTAAGGCTAGCAGTATGAACATATGCGTAGTCAGTAAACAATGCTTAAGTATACATATTCATATAAGTGCAACAATAATAAAGGTACAATCATCTAAGATAAGTTGTTATTGTACGAATGACTCTATCCGTTAAATAAGCTAACAAAATGGCTTAACCAAATGAAATGTAAACAAAATGAATTGCATGTGAACAAACTACTATACATTATAGCTTGATCTTTTTTTTTTAATTTTCAAAATATGTATATCAGTCCCACCCCCCCCTTTTTTGCACATCAAATTACAATCCACTTATCAATCATAAATCAATAATCCAATCATAATCAATCAATAATAACCCGGGATATCAGTTCATTCATTTTAGTTTTTAAAACAAAAAAAAATATTTGTATCAGTTTATTTAAACACAATTTAATAATATTGCGGTAATATAAAAATGAGAATTTAGTAGTTGAGATGATAGAAATTGATTAAGAAAATGAATCAACAAGAAACAACTACAAAAATCAGTATTGATAAAGAATATAGAAAGTATGATTATTCAAAGAACTTTGACAAGACATTGACAGAAGAAGAAGAAGATCCAACGAATTGTTCGTCAAAGTTACTTGAACAGCAATCTCAATTAGAGAGTCGTCTACTCACTCGTGAAGATCTGATTAATTTAGACAAAACTGAACCTCGTTGGAGATGTATTCGAATAGGATTATTAATTGGATTTGGGATTATATTTTTTGGTCTTTTAGCAGCATGTATTATTTACATCATTTTTGGACAAAAATGCCCATCTGTGCCCAAATTACCATTTTGGAAATCAACAGTTGGTTACTGGTTAGATGTGTTTGCATTTAAAGACTCTTCTGGCGATTTAGTCGGAGATCTAAACGGTAATCAGTATTAGTGTAAAACCTCTATCACTCAAATGATGATTTTATCCTAATAGGTCTCACATCTGAAGTAGATTACATCAAAACTGTAGTCGGTGCAGGATATGTGATATTAGGTCCCATTACTAAAGGATTTTACACTAATTCATACAATATACTCGGATTAGTGGAAGATTACGAGCAGCTAGATGAGGCAGTCGGTACAATGGATGATTTTCGTATTCTTTTAAAACAATTTCATAAAAAGGATATAAAAGTTATCTTGACATTCGATTTCAATGCGATATCCATCAGTCATAAATGGATCATACAGAACAAAGTCAAACTGACGTTGTTTGATGATGACTTTAAGAACAAGGTAAAACTACTTTCATTGTTCTATAGTCTCTTTACACTTTATCTACATAAAGAAGTCACGATATGGAAATCGATTGGACGTGAATATTAGTCATCAAAAATACTATTCAGTTTTTGAATATCCAAGCATAGATCTAGATTTAACTTCTTCCGAAACTCAGAAAGCAATATTTGTATGTTTCAATGAATCCACTTATTAAATTGTATTGTTACCGATAGGATGTGACCCACTTTTGGATGAAAGAAGGAATAGATGGAATTCTCCTAGATAATGCTGCATTTTTTGTTGAAGAAGAAGAAAAAAAAGGAACACAAAGCAACGTAAGTCTACGAATGATAATTCAATGATAATTGTTTGTCCCTTTATAAACTATTCTCTTTTCTTTTACTCTATCTGTATATTTAGCTCAGTTCAACATGGTTGGAAAACTGTCCTAATTCTCAATTATATAGAAATGGAAGTGTGAAATTTGTTGAAGGTGTAAGAGAAGAAATGAACAAGTGGATTAAGGAAAGTGGAAAAGAAAAGTAGGTTCGTTATTGATTGTTAATGTTGATGAATGTTTTGTCGTTTAAATCAAAGTGGTAATCAGAATTTTATCAGAGACGAATGTACACCTTTATCTGCTTTAATGTAAATCAGTGATACTTTCCATTATCTATAATGCTGTGTCATCTCGGTAGTGTTAAAGTACCAGGTTGTAGATCACAAACGTAGATTATCAATGTCGAATGATTAGAGACCTACTAGAGTTAGATGAGAATGATGTGACGAACTAGCTAAATTCTAAGTCACATCTTGCGGTTAACATCTAACGTGGATTACTTCTTCGACGTTTAAAAGTACTATGGCTGCTTTGAAGACCGTATAACACAAATGATGTTATTAAGGAAATATATCAGTAAGAATGAATACAGAGAAGATAGCGAGACCATTACCACTACATGCGCCAGTCCATGGCATATGATCAACTGACGAGCGTTGTTTTTCCTTGACCTTGACAGCGATCGACGATCTGTTCAATATTCAGTCACCCAACTGCCGGATGATTTGGCTATGAATCGGTGACGTTTCACTGGCACTACAAAGTGATCAATAGAAACTCATCTAATTGGAAGTGAATGGAAGTACACTTCTTAAACATGCAACAAATAGTTAAATACTTTAAGGGGTTCAGTAGATGCATAGCTTACTAAATAAGATTACTGAATAACAGAATTATTAAACTACTAGTGATAATCTGTGTTTTCTTGTATTTACATTGCATATTGAGTCATTCAATCGTTTATTATAAAATTTGTTACAGAGTTAGTTATTGCTCAAACCATTGACATCATATTTAAATTTACTGAATTTCATACAGTTTATGTAAATGATCTCAGAAACACTTGTTTGTTCTTTGTGCAATATCTTCTATAGATTATTGGCTGTGAACTCTGGTGATACAGGTTGTGGTGTGGGCGATAATCCAGATCCAATGTTAATGTTCCGAGATGTGGCTGATTTAATAATCAGTCGCGAATTTGTATGGGGGAGAGGTGAAAAAGAACGTGAATTAACATTTAACCAAACAGCTCTACAAAAATATCTCACATATACAGATTCCGACAAAGAGATACTTGGTTTGACCATTAGCACTGTTCATATTCCGCCATATGGAGATACGCTTCAGCTTGCGACAACATTGTTATTACCAGGTATAGGAACATAAATAATAAAAAAACTTTTTAATATTATCCATACAACTTTACACGTTGCCACAATCTTGTGACTTTAAAATCTGAATTTAGTAAATAACTTCTCCGAATACATAATCATCAATGATATACTAAACGGAAATACCAGCTGACAGCATTTAAGTTTGATAAGAGATTATGTCTAGTGTTGTCATGGCTAATCCATAATGAAATGAGGTATAGAACTGTTAATTGTAAACTCAACAATCAATTTACTAATAATAGTTTGTCGATTAAGTTTATTAATATGATCTATCTCATATCACAGTGAGTGATTGTGAAAATATACTTTACAACTATCTGCAATTCTAAATATAAAATAAGAGACCAGCTTCCTCTGCGGATCTCTTGATACAGACATGACTTAAGTCATCCTAGTAGGTTCTTTCTGTAGAACAACTTCTGAGGGAATATATGTGGTTTGTCTTCGTTTGTCCCACTTCTAGTATCTTAGGGAGCATGATGAAATTTTGCATAAGGTATCTTGTCATTGAGCACTTGTTAGTTATGGACGATATTCGACTTATATGACGGCTGAGATACTGCCCGGGTGCTCAGACCAAAGCAAGTGGTTTTATTAGGGGACCACACCCCGAGCCTTTGACCTGACGGTTTAAGCCACAAGGCAGTGGAGCAACGTCACAGTATGCAGTTCAATGGTAGCCGGTGACAAAAAATTGGTTCATATGCCATTTGTTTCCTTAAGATATTGGAGCCAATGAGGACCGTTGGTTTGAAATCAGGGTTTTCCAACTCCCCTAGATGGATCCTTCGTATCCAACAACCCGGTTAAATCGTTGGACATTCGCTTTTCATCCTCTTGGTTTCGTAAACAACACCCTCGACGCGAGAAAGCAGTGATTAGTACTTCCCTGGAAGTGGTTTTATACACATGGCTATTTGAGAGCATTTCGAGAGGGAGAGCTGACTGTCCTCACTCTCAGCCGTATCAGGGCATTTGGAGGTATGGAGGATATTAAATTGCGAAATGTGTTCACTCAAATGAATTATTATATAATATATTTCTCACCACTATTTTATCTTATCTATAGGACTACCAGTAATTTATTATGGAACTGAGATTGATGTAAACAGAGTCACTTCACAATATCTTCCTGTAAGTATTTATCCGAAAGGAAAGAGTTATAATGATGAACCATTTGATAAATATTCGTCTGTGTTATCTCATATGCCAATGCCATGGGATTTTAATGGGAAGAGGTTTTCGGCGACAATAAATGATTCGAGATTTCGTGACTATCTCAATGATTATAATAACAAAAAAGTTGTTGAAGTAAGTAATATAGTAACTTCTATGTATTCACTCATCAAATGCTTGTTTTCTTTGTGTAGCCGAAATGTTATTTTGTTAAAATTATGTATTTTCAACGAGAATAACTGACCGCTTTTGCTGAATATCTACTGTGTAACCAAAACATGCTTACTTACTTGCTTACTTACGCCTGTTACTCTTCGTGGAGGAGGATTAGCCTCCAACCAGCACTCTCCATCAAACCCTGTCCTGGGCAGTCTTTTCCAGTTCTTCCCAGTTGTTATTCATCCTTTTCATATCTGCTTCTATTTCCCGGCGTAATATGTTCTTTGGCCTTCCTTTTTTCCGTTCCTATTCAGTATTAGATGTTAGTACTTGCCTCGTGATGCAGTTTAGGGATTTTGGTAATGTATGTCCTATCCACTTCCAAAGTCTTTTCCTAATTTCCTCTTCATCTGGAAGCTGGTTTGTTCTCTCTCACAGTAGGCTGTTGCTCATTGTATCCGGTAATTTGATGTTGCGTAGACAACTATTTATGAATACTTGTATCTTCTTGATGATGGTTGTATTAGTTCTCCAAGTTTCAGCTCCATGAGTGCAATTTAATGACAAATAATTCAAAACTAAAGAAAATTAGAAAAAATAATTGTTTTTAATAAATTCATCATCAGGCTCTGCAGTTATACACGCGTGTCGTCCGATTTGAGGCTCGTCGGCTGTATGTGTCTACATCCCATCCCAACATGAACTCTGAGATGCAGGTACATCCAGCTGACGAGTCCCAAATTGGACGAAACTCACGTCCTGCGTTCCACTGCTAGCCACTATCCGTCTTTTCTTAAAAATCTCGTGATTTAAGGCTATATCGAGGCAAGTTGCACAGGTTGCACATACGCTAACAAGAGACTGATCAGTTGCAGTCTTAAATAACAATGCAGAGATACGAGTAAAACAACACCAATTGAATTTGGGCTTTTAATTTACTTCTAATATTTACAAAGTATGCAGTTGAGCCTAGCCTGAATTTACCAATGAAGATGTGTAGTTAGCAATCATATAAACTTAAGTCATGAATGAATTCATTACCCGGTTGGCTCAGTTTTCAGTTGATTGGAATCTTTATTGACATAAACGCCTTTTATGATATTGAAAAAGTTATCGGAATGTAAAGAAATGGCTCAATATCGCGTGAAAAATCATATTTGTTGATTGATATGAGTTAGTTGTTTAGTTCTTTTACTGTACAATAAGTATTGTCAATCATTGTGAGTATAACAATCTTCTTTATCCCTAAAGAGTGAACTTGCTGAAGGAAATGACAAATCCGTTCTTCGTCTTGTACAAAAATTAGTAGCTTTACGTCAAAATCCTAGTATAAAATGGGGAACGATAGAGCAAATAAATATTGACCAAGTAAGTGATTTCCCAGCTTATACACTCGATAAATTGTTTTTCTAAAGTAATTTCTTAACTCAATTATTAACTATGGAGGCTTCTTCAACACTAAGGCATGCCAATATCATACGGAATTCCTATGATGGATTAAACTGCAAAATCGTGCATGAAGAACAGTTGACAGACTCGTTCGAGGTAAAGACCGGCGTCAGATAAGGCTGCTTACTCTCACCCTTTCTCTTCCTTCTGGTAATCGACTGTATTATGAAGATGGGATACAGTGGACAGCTAGGATGAAGCTCGACAATCTAGACTTCACAGATAATCTGGATGTTTTATCGCATGAGCAACAACAAATTCAGGAGAAGACGACCAATCTAGCAGCATACTCAGCAGCACTAGGTCTCAACATACACAGAGGGAACAGCAAGATTCTCCGACACAACACACCATGCACCAATGGTGTCGCCGTTGATGGAGAAGATTTGGAAGATGTAAAAACCTTTACAAATCTGGGCAGCATCATTGATGAACAGGGTGGATCTGATGCAGATGTGAAGGCGCGGATCGGAAAAGCAAGAGCAGCATATTAACAACTGAGGAACATCTGGAACTCAAAACAACTGTCAACCAACACCAAGGTCAGGATTTTCAATACAAATGTCAAGACAGTTCCACTGTATGGGGCAGAAGCCTGGAGAACGACGAAAGTCATCATCCAGAAGATAGAAGTGTTTATTAACAGTTTTCTATGCAAAATACTTTGGATCTGTTGGGCGGACACTATCAGTAACAACCTACTGTGGGACAGAACAAATCCGATTCCAGCTGAGTCATAAGGCAAGCCCTCACTTGGAATCCTCAAGTGCAAAAGAGATGAGGAACACCACAGAGCACATTACGCCGAGAAATAGGGACAGACATGAGAAGAACGAACAACAATTGGATAGAACTAGAAAAGAAGACTCAGGAAAGAGTGGGTTTTAGAATGCTGGTCGGCTGCTTATGTCCCATTGGGAGACAACCCGCACAGGATGCTCATATGCCAATAATAGACTGATCAATTACAGTCCTAAATAACAGTGGTAAGATACAAGTAAAACAACACCAAGTGAAATTTACTGGTAAGTTTACTTTTATCAATAAAATACAAATTAAATAAATATTATTAATGTACTTTGAAGTATTTCTTTCTTAACCCCTTTTTCACTTGGAAGTTTTCGCTGAATATGAAATATCATCCTTTTTCATGACATTCACCATTTCTGTTTAAACACATAACCCGACATATCATTACTTATTCATGCATTATTTATATGTGAATACATGAGTTGAAATATCCTAAATTCAACTGATAACTTCTAATATACTTGAGCAGTAAACATGTAATGATCTGCAATCATAGATGTAGTGAAGAGATCTACTGAAATGAATTTAATAGTTATTCTAGATAAAGCTTCCCAATATTACGTGCGCTATACAAATTTCATTTTCACTTAAAGTAATAATTACTGTTTTCCAGACTGATGAGTAACGGTCGGATCAACATCATCCTATTCAAAGTAATTAGTTGGATGCCGGCTCAGTGGTTTAGTTGGTTAAGCGCTTGGCACGAGACTGATCGGTTCTGTGTTCGAGTCTCGCTGGGTGCGGGATCGTGGATGCGCACTGCTGAGGAGTCCCATACTAGGACGAAACGGCCGTCCAGTGCTTCCAGGTTTTCCATGGTGGTCTAGCTTCAATCGACTAATGATTTCAATCTGTGTAATTAGTGCCTTTGATAAATTTCGATAGTGTAGTTAAGAAGACGAAGATGAACAGAACTATGTGATAATATATATATCAGTACAATACATTTCGAACAATCTGATCACACATAATATACATGTTAAGAACATTTATATATAAAATGATAAAAGTTCAACTAGACTAGAAATGAAGGGTAAGAGGAGACAAGGATAATAAAGAAAATAATATGAAAACAGTTTGAAACATCATCACTTCTGGATAATGAACTAATATTACCAGAGTAGGTTTAAAGTGAGAACAGATAGTTTTTGACTGCACAAAGGGAGTTTGAATTTTCGTATGACTAAGGCTTCAATAAACCTTAGTATACACCTTTTTACACATTTTCACAACATCACAAAAGTTTAATTAAAATCAATCTTATTACCTGTTCCAATTATTCGATTGGCGATAGATGAGGATGGATGTTTATCCTCTACCCTTATTGGGTCATTTAATTTTATTTGTTTCTGCAACCATTTAGGTACATGTTCACACACCCTAATAATGAGATCACGATTACTGATAATCTTCGTCGTCTTATAACACTATCGAAATCTTCCTAATCTTTCAAATGGTCTATTGATCAACATCTCAATTAATTGACCATCGATTATTATATTTGTCTTCCACACATTCATTTATAGATTTTACCTTAAATTTCATTACTTATTTCAGTGTTGTTGTCTGTATTTCTATCAAACAGAAATCATCTCATCAATTTACTTAATATGCATTCATTTCATGTAACTCTAAGTCTACCAAATGCAATGATATTATCTATTTATCCTTTTCCATTAATCTTCACTCGCCTGAGGCATGCAGCTGGATGGTGAACATACGAATTATTTAAAATTAAATGACCACTGAATAGTAATCGTTGTCATGTGTGCCTTGTCCTGATTAGTACTGGTTGAATTTTATTGATCAATTTGGGATGTGATTCATAATCTAAGCGACTTGACATCGTGTGCACTATGCTGTGATATCAGCTGATAGCTTTCGGGGGTTGGTACACCTTACTTGCAAGTGTAAAATTGAACAAGACCTAAGTTTAGGGTTTACCTATGGACTACATTTAAAAACGACCACTTGGCACAGGGATTTTCGCTAACTGTTGTTTGAACTGAACGATTCTTATTATTGTGTATTTTACTGTGTAGTTTTTGAAACCATGATGAATAACTATTAAAACTCATTTGTGGGTAAATGATTTTAAAAGTTGTTTTCATTTTAGTTATGATATGTTTCTTAGCATTTCCGTTGGTCAATTGCTATTGCTGTGAAGTGTTTCACATGTTTTCTAGTTCTTGAAATGGGAGAGTTTTATGTAGTTATGTCATTGTTATCAAAGTTAACAGATTACTTTAAAGAGGTATTTTCGAATACATTTTGCATAATATGTCTTCATCTTGTTGACATGTGTTAATTTCTTTACAGGAATCTGTAAGTCATGCTGAAGCATTTGCACGAAAGGCGAAAGGTTTTCCAACATTCATTGTGGTATTAGTAAAGTATTTCAAGGAGGATTATTTTTTAGATTTAACTTCTGTTTGTTCATCAATTACACCAAGGGTAATTTATCCTTCACATCCACAATTATCAGTTGACAATGCATTATCAACTTCAAAAATATTCATCCCCAAACTGATATATTCTAGTTACATTTTAGTATTTGAATGTAATTAATCATATTTCCATATAATAGATTTCTCTCACATCTGATCTGAACTTATTGTTTGCACTTTCATTCATTTGCTTCATGTTTGGTTTTCTGCACTTAGCACGTAAACAGAATTTATCAGTATGGGGACTTGTGGAGGTTATAGTATTTTCGCTGTTGAAATCACAAGTCAATTTAAGTTAAACCACCATTGAAAACCTGGAAGTACTGGTGTTTAGCTTCAGGATGTAACTCCTGGTGTTCTAGTGAGGAACTTTGACCAGTGAAATGGAATCGGTGTCTAGTGTGACACAATTATTCACCTCAGGCAGTGGATACACAAACGGGGAGACGAACTAGACTATTCATCCATACTTTTTGAAATCACTATCGGGTGGTTGGAAAACGTAAAGCGTAATTTCGCTTCTGTTAATGTATTTCTCAAAGCTTTTGCATACGCTGAATTACTACTTCACTGGCTACATCACCTTTAAACTTTAACTTCAGGAATACAGGCTTTTTCAATACCGTCGGTGATTTGACTTCGGGTTTTGTTCCAGGCATATGTTTCGTTAGGAACTTTGATCGTTACCCATGTTCACATATTAAAATCACGGATTAAAAATTATCTGTTACATTGTGCTATAAGATTTTTGTTTGTGTAGCAGCTTCGGAAATTCAAGTAGTCATTTTGCAGTTGCCTGATCAGGTCAGTTGACTATATCGAACATTGAACAAAGTAGTATGCATTCTGTGTAGTACTCAGTAACAAAAGATTTTACAAGACCGTATATATTGATTAATGTTAATTATGTACCAAACGCTATGTTTAAGCTTTTGAGATCTGGATATTCCTGGACTCTTGAAAATATGAAACATTTAACTGGGTGATTCAAATGGTTATGGACGGAATAGGAGAAGCTTTCGCTTAACGGGCTTCCATGTCTAGTTGCAGTGGATCACCAATGACTACAGGCGGGAACCTAGGTATATTAACGATAACAGAGTAAAAAGAAATTGGCAAGTCATAGTAAGATATTATCCTTAGTCCTTAAGAATAGGTCAAGTTGCCTTTCAAAGGAATCCTGGAATGCCGCTTGGACTAGCTCAACCGGCAGCGAATTCCAGCATTTGACAGGTTTTAAGGGGTAGAATTTGTGTCTACATTCCGTTCTGCTGTGTTGTGTCTGCAATTTCTGGGTGTTACCCCTTGGGTGTGTGTTGGAGCTAAACTGAAGTAGGTGTTTAAGGGGATGTCTAGAAGTGTTAAGCTTACTGTAACCATATGGAATCTTACTCAATTCACTTCAAAATGGGACTTCTTGAATCGAGCGGCTAATAGACTGATTAAGAATGAAGGTTCATTCCGGCTTGTTTAATTTTTCACTCAGACTAATTTCTCGATAATAAGATTATCAAACCGACAAATACTTTTACTTGAATACACCTCGAAAATGCATTAAAATTAGATTAGGTAGGTCAGGTTTACTCAGACTTCTCATACAGCGAATAAAGAAAAGTGAGTAAGGTCAATCATTATTTTTATTAACCAGCTATTATAGAAAGGCATTCGTATTTAGACATCATGTATTATAAGATGGTGGAGGAGATTTGTAGCTCAAGTGGATGATTTTGATGGAGTTTTGTTCTCGGAGCTGAATGGTTTGGTTGTGGAGCTTTCGAACACTTCACTTCTATCTGAAGTGAAGAATACTGTTATACATATATATAAAACAGTATTCTTTGTGCCAGCCTCACATCAACTCAGACTCGTTAAAGATTTACTTTCATTCGAAATTTAAGTGCATCATTCCTAATTCCATTTATCACCTTTGTACTTATTCCCGTAGGTGTAACTATACACACGTTACGCTTGCTACTAGTCGGATAGCTTGAACTGCTTACTTGAAATATATCATGAACAATTTTGTCTTTCATCTTATTTAATACGTTGCTTGGGAACTACGGAATAGAAAGGTCAGCTTGCACACAACCAGATGATCTGGACTTCTCAGATGAGCTAGCTCTTCTATTCCATACACATTAACAAACGCAGATGAACACTACTAGTGTAGCATCAGGCTCTGCAACAGTAGGCCTCAATATACACAAGGGAAAAATCAAGGTCCTCAAATACAAAAAAGTTAACACCAACTAAACCAATCACACTAGATGGAGAAACTCTGGGAAAGGTTTAATCCCCTACGCATCTGTGAAGTACCATCGATAAACCAGTTATATCTGATGCAGACGTAAAGGCAAGGATTGGAAAGGCAGGGACATCATTCCTACAGTCCAGGAACATGTGGAACTCAAAACAACTATTAACCAATACCAAAGTCACAATCTTCAATACAAACGTCAAGACAGTCCTACTGTACGGAGCTGAAACTTCGAGAACTGCTACAACCATCACCACAAAGGTACAAGCATTTTAAAACAATTGCCTACGTAAGGTACTCAATATCCATTGGACGGATACCATCAGCAACAGAGTTCTGTGGGAGAGAACGAATCAACTTCCAGTCGAAGGGGAAACTAGGAAAAGATGTTGGGAGTGGATAAGATACACAATGAGGAAATCATCACACTGCATCACGAGGCAAGGCCCAACATCGAGTTCTTAATCGAAACGGAAAATAGAAAGACCGAAGTACACACTGCGTGAGGATTTGGAAGCAGACATAAAAAGGATCAACATCAACTAGAAAGAACTGAAAAGGATCGCTCAGGACAGAATTAGGTGGATAATGCAGGTGGTTGGCCCATGACCATCCATGAGGGGTAACAGACGTATGTGCGCCAGCAATACACTTTTGGAATGTGTCGAAGTAATGGCGATCATGCTCATTAGTATGTAGTGACTCACGTTTATCACGAGAACACGACTGGTTTAATAAAAACAATTATTATTACAACCAACTGTACCAGTGTTTGTTTTAATGTGTTTTTGTTTAACTGTGCTAATTATAGCCATTTTGTGCTTCCATTACCTTCCATCATTGTTCCGCGGTTTTTGGTACTGTTCGCACGTACTCCTGTCTTCTGCTTTCGCTTGTACCTTTTCTTGGCACGATCTCGGTATTCGTTCAATACCACGAGATCGCCAACGAAATAAATCTGGTTACGTTCAATCCTCGCCTTCTGATCTAATTGGCACGTGTTTCTTGGTAGCGGTGTTCACAGTTGATCTCAACTCGACGCCACGCTACAATTGGTGATCCCAAAGTTTGGAACACGCCGCAACCTCGGGTCAAATCTTCCAAAGAAGTCAATTTGGTGAGTCTATTATTTATCTATCCACGTCTGTCGTATATTTTCATATTAATTTTTAATATATAATATACACGACATGACGGATAGCGAGAAGAATACTATTAATGTTATAGACTCAGACGTACAGGCCATTCATTTTCGACCTGTATCATTTATCCCCCACGACCCTGAGGTCTGGTTTGCTGCAATTGAGTCTCAGTTCGAGACTCGTCGTATCACGAGCCAAAGGCAAAAATACGCCTACGCTCTTGAATCGTTACCCGGGGACCATTTAGTAGCTGTTCGTGAGGTCGTCCTCAATTCTAACGTGCCTAATGTTTATGACCGCCTCAAGGAGGCAATTCTCCGACATTTCCTCCCATCAAGGGAGGAACGATTGAGGACCCTGTTAGCACGTCACCCCCTGGGTGATGCTAAACCAAGCCATCACCTCACGCGCCTGCAATCTCTTGCAGGACCAACAGCATCTGACTCGGAGATAGTTAAGGAATTATGGCTCGAGTCACTACCAGCCCATATCCAACCTACTGTGACGGCACTGCTCGAGGACTCACCGCTTAACCAGGTAGCCCTCATAGCAGACAAAATTTTGGCGAGGACTAGCAATAGAGACACCTATGTAGTTGCTTCGACGGCACGTCCTAAAGTAGACATGGACGCCGCTCATTCCTCAGCTCATGGTGACAGGGACGGGTGTATTCACGCACGTCTTAGTTTTCGAGACCGTTGTAACGTACCCCAACCCTACGTCCCCCGAGCTCGCTCAAGTTCTCGCAAACCCGTCACCACTCGCCCAAAAAGGGCATCTTCCAGGCCACGCCGAAAGGCGGCTACGGAAGCGAGTGACAATTGGTGCTGGTTCCATAGGTCCTTCGGGTCTGGCGCCCGCCGTTGTCGAGCACCATGCTCATACAAGGCGGGAAACGCCAGCGCCGGCGAGTAAAAGCGGCCGTACTCGCCGGCCCTTCTCCCCAGGTTGGTCGCCTATTCTATGTGCACGATTATCGCACAAACGCTAGGTTCCTAGTAGACACTGGGGCCCAAGTTTCTGTCGTACCACGAGGTAGCAGCAAGTCACAAGCCACAGTGCTTCGACTACGCGCTGCGAATGGCTCAGTCATTCCTACCTACGGTACACGACAACTCGTGGTCAACCTGGGCAACCGACGACGGTATCTGTGGACGTTCATCATTGCTGATGTTCCCACAGCCATACTAGGTATCGATTTTCTACAGCACTATGAATTGCTTGTCGATTCACGTAGGCTGCAGCTAATCGATACTTCGTCGAACAGCAAATTCATGGGCTGTAAAGCCCACATGAACGCGTACCGAATCCTCGGCACTTTTTACTCGCGTGACGATAAATTCCACGCTTTATTCGAGAAATTCCCCGTACTCACTAAACCACTCGAGGAGCTTCCATCGGTGACCAATCGTGTGGTACACCACATAGTCACCCGCGGACCGCCAGTCACGGCACGACCTCGCCGACTGGCACCGGACAAATTAGCTTTCGCTAAGCGTGAGTTTGACAATTTACTAGCTACTGGTATTATTCGTCCTTCTCACAGTCCATGGGCCTCTCCTCTACACATGGTGCGCAAAAAAGATGGGGTTAGTTGGAGACCATGCGGCGACTACCGAGCTCTAAACGTAGTTACGCGCTTTGATAGCTACCCCATCCCCCACATACACGACATCACGGCATCGCTCAAGGGCACGACTATCTTTTCTAAGATCGATCTGGTACGAGCATATCATCAGATCCCAGTCGCTCTTGAAGATATCGAAAAGACAGCTATCACGACTCCTTTCGGTTTGTTTGAGTTCCTACGAATGCCATTTGGATTACGGAATGCTGCTCAAACTTTTCAAAGGTTTATCGATAGCATTGTACGAGACCTCGATTTTGTTCACGTCTATATTGATGACCTGCTAATCGCATCATCAAACGTAGATGAACATTATCAACATCTTACGCTATTATTCCAACGACTTTCGGATAATGGAATAGTAGTTAACCCAGACAAATGCGAGTTAGGTAAACGAGAAATAATATTTCTGGGTCATGTTATCAAGCAAGAGGGTATCTTACCTTGTGAGGACAAAGTGCAAGCAATAAAGGAGTACAACGTGCCGTCCTCACTCAAGGAACTGAAGGCTTTTCTCGGTTTGGTTAACTTCTACCGTCGTTTCATCCCACACGCGGCAGAACGGTTACGACCACTAACCGACTTACTACGCGGCAACCCACGCAGATTGGAAATGAACGATTCTGCACGTACTGCATTCACTGAAATCAAAACGGCTCTTGCGCAAGCCACTCTTCTCGCCCATCCCGATCCATCAGCCACGCTTAGTATAGCGGTTGATGCATCCGATGTTGCTATAGGAGCAGTCATGCAACAAAACATCTCCGGTAGTTGGCAACCTCTCGAGTTTTTCTCACGACGCCTTACTGCCACGGAGACGAGATATAGCGCTTTTGGTCGCGAGCTGCTAGCAGCCTACTGCGCCATCAAACATTTTCGGCACGCAG